GTGCAACATGGTTGAAAAGTTGGGAGAATTCTGTTAAAGGCATTCAGATATAGGCCGGTAAAGGGCCCCTATCATTATCTGTGGATCCAGTCATGGATCAAGAGTTCTCCTCTACCAGCAGGGATTTGAGGCAAATGTGTGGCCCTGGTGACGGTGAGGAGTGTGAAGACTGAAGCAGAGAGTGTGGGGACAGATTGAGTTCAGGTTAAAAAAAAACAATATTCTATGATATGAACCATGACCTGCACAAAGCTATGGTATAAAGGAAGCGATCATCTTATTCCTCTATAATTTTTCCCTTTGATTCTCAAGATGCACTTTACTGCACAGTGTCAGTAATCTTTACCAAGCCAAAAATCTTTCAAAATGTGCCTGCTTGACTTCTACAATCCAGAATCTCAATATAATGTCAGAGTTTGGACCATACCTAAGGAAATCTTTACACTTCTAACAAATGGGTGCAGTAATTAAGGCTTGAACTTCTCCAATGCTGAATCCCAAGAAAGTCAAGAGTGTTTGCTCAGGTATGTGATGATTGGCTTTCCCTTACAGGGGATGAGATCCAGATGTGTAGTGTGTCTGCTACTGGAGTGAAAGAAGGCACTCCAGTTCTCACATGTGGGTACGTTATGTCTCACACACTCCAAAAGTCTAATAATCAGTTACTCTAAAATAGTAATGAATGCCAGAAAAAGCCGGCAGATAGGAAGGAATCTGACGGTTCCTCTTCTAACAATCGTGTGAGATTTGTTTTTCAAAAATAAACTACCATCTATCAGGAGCTGGGATCCAGGTGCTTTGATTGGGATTTAATATACGCAGACATCTCTACATGACTACTTTCTTCTGTTTTCATCAAGCCTGATGGAATATCTAATCAAAACTTGGATGCTGGTTGGAGTGTCTTTGATTATCTGCAGTAAGTGTGGACATGCCATATTTTTCTACAATTCTACATTTATGAATAACATTAAAGTTTAAATTAACATCAGGGGAGAGGAATATTTGTATGAATTGCCTCACACACTGGAATTTACTTAATTAATAGTTAATACATCTGAACAGTTAACTGTGACACCCGGCTGTGACAGTTAGACAATAAACAATGGACAATAGACTGTGTGACATTACCCTAAAAACAATGGAAATATAATGAAAGGTCATTCCAAGATGAAAAAGGCCATCTTGATGAGAACAGCTATCTGGAATTGAGGAAAGATAAAGGTCAGGCCTTGTCATTAAAGGTAAGTGGTTTCATTTTCTTTAGTGTGCTCAGGAGCTCAGACAGTTTTAACAAAAGCTTGCAGTATTTGGGGACTAAACCAATCTAAGAGGATTCAGGCAGGCATTGTGATGAAATTGAGGTTAAAGCATTAAATGAATCCTTGTTTTCATTTCAGTTATTTTAAAATTACTACCACAAAAAAGTGAGGCAAAGAAGTGAAAACATTAATGCCATCTTCATGTCCCATTGATCCCCAAAGATTAAGAAAATGTAATTTTGTCTTGTATCATTTAAGGATAATTTCACACATGAAGAATTAAAATCCACAGTTGGGATGTTTCCAGACCTGTTTTTTTAGAGAGATACACCTCCTGTGCTCTCTTGTGATTCTGATGGAAACAAAGTATTATGTCATATCCTAGAATGAGGGACACTTTTTAAATCACTTCTTCAAATGTATTAAAAAAAAGCTTTCTATCAATTAGCACACCATTTATCACCAAATGTCTTATCAGTCTTATTGTTATTATTATTATTATTATAATACTCTCTTTATCGTTTTTTAAATTCCATTTCACTTCTGTATTATTTTAAGTTCCTGATTTTATTTGCCTTAGTCCTGAAATATTTTAATCCTGGTTGAACCATGTGAAGCATTTTGAAACTTTGTTTTGACAAGTGCTGCATAAATAAAGATTATTATTATTATATATTTTTACAAAAACTATGACTACTATGACTTATGTAATAGACATTAAGACATGAGAGCTTTAAGAAGTGCCTACGTGTGGGTGTGTTGATATAGTTTTTTTGGAATCCATTGTAACTGACACAATTCAAGCAAATGACCTTTGTTAGTGAGAAATTAAATGTTTTACAGCTTTCTTTGAACGATTAAAAATTATTTTAATCTTTGAGATTTCAGGTGTGTTATTAGTGTGAAATGTGAAATCTACTAAAGACACAAAATTGTTTAATGTCAGAGGTAGTGAGAACTTTTTCAAAGTGATAGATTCAACTTTTCTAATAGTGTAACTGTAGCTCTTCTCAGTTCATAGGCACTATTAGACTCTGTTCTAGTACTCGCTGGTATGCATATATAATGCTTACAATGCTTTTTTGACCCTGCCATTTCACCTTATCTGAATCCGGACACCAAATTGTAGGCCTAAGTAGGTTTTAGTTCTCAAGGGACCACACAAAATGAGAGTTAAGTATGTTTACCTTAAGGTTTTGGGTAAGCAAAGCTCTAGCATATTGTAGATGAACACAGAGGAAAGAATGCATCAGAGCTTTGTCATTTATCACCAGAGCACTAACAACTCTGCAGCTCAAATAGCTTAATGGCTCAATTATTTTAGCAAAATGGTGACCACATGTTTTAAAAGTGTGGCTACGTTGATTCCAAGGCATTAGCTGTGCTAGAATGAATGTTCTGTACTCTGTAAACAAATAATCATGCACACATACAATGACAAAGAGAGATATGAGAGCATAATATGAATCAAGAGCCATGTGTCTTAAACTGTTCCATAATGCATAATCCGTACGTGAAGTAAGTATGTAAACCACTTACAGTGGAAATGTAAAACACATGCTTGATTAATCATCTGTGCTTCAAACACTAAAGGTGATACTGAGAGTCGGGAATTTGGGAATTAATATGGAAAGTGTCTCCTGTGGAATTTTACTGACTACCAATTAATAAAAATATCCATAAAAGGTCAAGAAAGTTCTTGTGTCAAAGTTTTTTCCAAAGCCTAATGTGACTCCTCAAAACACACACGCACACAAACACACACACACAGACAGACAAATACAACTCTCCCGTTGAGGTAATGGATGAATATTGATAGTATTATCCTTGAATCAAGCTTTGTAAAGTTGTTGTAAAAGTGAAAAGCAAAAAAGCAAAAAAAAAAAAGATCTGGGTAGATGCATTTATTTAGTGATGAAGTAGTGACCCCTGCAGGAGAAATTCTCACACTGTCATAAATATGCAGCCAACCAAGACCTCCAATCAATTTTAAAACTTACTTAGAAATTTTGTAATGTTAATCTGATAAATTAAATCTATTTTTGGTGAGTTTGACTTTTGATGCAACAACAAAGATAGAGGTTGATGTTTTATTCTAACCCAAAGTTTCTCAAGCTTGAGGCTGGAACCTCCTGTTGGCTTATTGCCTGTCCACATGGGCTTCCAGGAGATCTGTAAAAGTGATATTCTGATTTTGTTTGCTCCATATTTTTTAAATACTGAGAGACCAACAGAGTCAGTGGTGAAACAGGCATGCAAAAGACTGGAGAAACTTGAAGCTACAGTATCAGGAGACATGTATGCACGACAGACCAGATCCCAGAGTGTATGTAAATGATGAGGATTTTCATCTTAGACAAGAAGTCTACTGTGTGCTCAGAGTGGTTTTCATATACCTATTGTATGATAATGAAAACTGAAATGGGATGCCTTTGAATAAAAGCACAGATGTAGTACATTCCAGTGAGGTTACAAATAAAGTTGAACATTCCCGACAGACTGACTCTGCTGTAAGATTGCAAATAATGATATCAGTAAGTTTGACTTAATATAGGCAAGAAAGAGAAGGATCTATTTAACTGCTTCGTCCAACCTTTACCTATCAAAAGAAAGGAAAAGAAAGAAAAAGGAAGATAATCCACATAGAGTGTGGATTGTCTGTTCAAATTGTTTTGCAGCTGGCTAGAGTGGGTTGTTATCACCTCTTTACTCAACTGATGCTATAATAATAAAAGGCTGGTAAACATGACAGCTCACAGTTACATCTACTCAATCATTTTCCACCACAGACAATTGGGATTCAGCAGGATTCCCATGACATTTTGTTTTCATTTGCATTACAATTCCTGATACGCGTGGCATTTATAAAACTTGCATGGCAATGTATGCATGTAAAGTTATATATATATAGTTTATAGTTTATAGTATATATATATATATAGTTTTATATAATTTGTTTTACCTAAAAAACAAAATCCTGAATTCCAAAAAATCTGAAATCTGTTTTTCAAAAGCTGCTACACTGTAAACAGGAACATTACATCTGTCTGATGTCTTGCAGACATTCTGAATCTCTGTATCTAATCAGGGTCAGTGTGACACAGTTCTCCTCTCACACTTGTTGTGGAGGAGCTCAGCTTAAGCCTTAAATTCTGCAGAATTACTGTCAACTCTTGTAGTCTTGAGGTTTTGACAGTGTCGTATGACAACTAAAATATGATGTATTGTTCTTTTTATCACACAGGAAAGAGAGCCTTCTTTAGCTGCCTGCAGGTCCAACTATATTTTTTCTTCTTGTCTCAAAGTGCCTGCATTTATTACATTAAGCAGGCAAAAAAATGAACTATAATAATAACTATTTTACCCCCTTAACATTTAGATATCCATGGGTACCCTATGTATATTATGTAAAGAACTAAATCTAATCTCGTTTGAAATGTTCAAAACCAATGTACACCTTACTAGGGTTGAAAAAAAATCAGATTTAAATCGCATGGGGAAGACCTAAAGACCAGCTACATTTTGCAGAAATCTAAACAAAAGCTACTTTAAACTACTTGTAACTACTGCAACTTTGAGATTACAACGGATCCGTGCAGCATTGAGCTGCTCACACTGTCGGCCCGTTTAGCTTTTACTGTGCGGACTAGATCCTCGGGACTAGGGAAGATTGACAGGAAGTGGTTGTTCATTTGACCAATCACATCATGAGAAGTCCAGCAGGATGGAGCCTGCAGAGGGGAGCTGGAGAGGACTCTTCCCAATAGCACCTTCTCTGTTTGTAGCTACGTTAGCTCTGTCATTAAGTTAGTTGACCAGCCTTGTTTTCACAGCCTGCTGGACGCACTAAAGCACTGGAAGTCTGTCATCTTCACTACGACACAGACGAGTAGAGCAGTCGGCGAACGAAGAAACATTTCGGGTGGATGATAGCAGTGGAGATGTGTCATAAGCTGCATTGGACACTAAGAACCTACCTGGCTACCTGTCTATCAACTGACAGCTGTCACCGCACCTAGCTGCTCAGCTAGCTGGCTAAGTGAGCTAACGGCTAACAAGTGTTTTTTTCCGGGCTCATAGCCTGGCTAATTTAGCCAGCCAGCGCTGCTCTCGGTTCAGAGTGGAAATCAGTGACTCCCGCAAAAACGCTAGATTTTATTATTTTCTCAAGATTATTTGACTCCGCCTGCCGTTCAAATCATGAGTTAGCCAAGGAGCGTCGGAGAGCAGTGTTTGGAATATTTTGAAATCCAGCATTTCCTAGCATTTAGCTTGGAGCTAGCTAGCTGCATTCATTCAATTATTGAAAAGCTGCTAAAGCGTTAACAACAACACCTTAGCGGATAGGGACTGGGTACATCCAACCATAGTCTTTGTTAGGATACTGATACATTTTTGGACTTGACCTTGCCGTGGCCAACATCTGGGGGAAATGAAGAAATTTTTTGATTCTCGCCGGGAGTTGGTGAGCTCTGGGCCTGGTTCCGGAGCCGGTGGAGGAGGCGCTGGTTCCGGCGGTGGTGGCAGCTTCATCGGACGGGTCTTCACCATAGGACGCTATCAAGTGACCGTCGAGGAAATTGTCGCAGAAGGTGAACTATAGCTTTCTGTTGCGTGGATTACAAACTTGTCACACAACCACTTTTACCCAGATCTGCAATCTGAATTTCACCACATTGTTGTGAGGATGGAGAGTCAAGTAACATAAAATGAGTGGGCCTGTTTTGTTGGATTGTGGCCCAGCTAGATTACCAGCACTATCACCTTTATAACATGTTATTGGTGGGACAGGCAGCGGTTGACACAAGGCTATAGCAGTTACACTATCAGTTGTGGCCAGCCCAGGCTGCTATTTTGATGTTCATTTACTTGTCAGGACGAGTTGTTTCAGCCACACTTTTCTTTTGTGGCCTGAGTTTGGTTGCTCCTGTGCAATAAACATAAAAGTGGGAAAAAAAGATTTCAAGGTTGAAAATTCAAATGTGAGAGAAGGTGTGTTATAAAACTGTTTATTTAGATTGTCTTCTCTTTGCATGACTTCACTCTTTACCTCAAGGCTGGGAGGAACATGGTATGACTGGATTTTCTACTGTGTTGCAAAGGACCAATGACAAGCTGAGTCATCTGTCTTGATATTTACACAGGGAGTGACAAATCTCAAATGTAGATTCAAGACGTTTGGATGAACAATTTGTTGTTTGTTATAAGGTGGGAATGATTACTAGGATGTACAGCCACATAAAACATAAACTCCTGACAAGGAGGGGCTTTCCCACCTAATTCCGTAATATACTGGGGGCCCGGACCTTAACATGTTAAACAATCTCTCATGTTGATAAGCTGCAGGGGAATCCAACCTGTTAAGTTCAAGGGTGAGAAATGTTTTGTTAACATATAGGGTAGACTAAGGTAGACCAGACCATAACTAATCAGGCTTTGTGATGAGCGTAACAGGTTCCCTATGGTCATTTGTCTTTGCAATGAGAGTCCTCCATGCTCTGTTAGGTAAGAGCGCCTGTTACTAAAAAATAGATGAAAGAAGACTGATTAATTCATCAGTACTATAGATGGCCACCATCTGTTTGACCACACCATGGCTTTATGAATGGGTTAGACATCTAACCTCTGTCCTGCCCTGCACTGTGAGTGAGGACTATGGTAGTTTTCTTATGAGTTCTGGATAAACTTTTGCCTTGATGCAGACACTCACTTGAGAGAGGCACCTTTTGGATTGGTTATTATTTGGCCTCATAAACAGGGTTTTGTGCAGACAGTAAAAATGAATACTTACTCCAAGATTCTAAATCTTTCACAAAACGCTAGTTGTAATGTTTTTCTAGAGATGATATTTTCTTGCTTGGGCAGTGGACCTACTGCTTGCAATCTGACTCCCTTCAGTGTCACCAGACCTATTTATTCAGATGGTTTTGGTTGTAGCCTGGGCTGTTAGTTTCTGTTAGCTTGCTGCTCCATTTGGAAATGATCTTTTTTGCCTCTGCCTCCTCCCTTTGTTGTCATTGTTGAACTCTGTTGCCTTTAGCTGCAATAAACACACTTTTCATGATATAAAGAGTCTATAAAAAGTCTCTATACTGGCTTTTGTAGCTGAAGGCCTACAGTTGCATGCTTGGAATCATCTCATTTTTGTAGTTTTTTATTTTAACCATTTGGGTTTAAGTCTGTGATTTCTTTTCAACCAATTGACTGAGGATTTTCTTAGACAAAGCTTTATGTCTTTACGGTCAACAAAATGTTTTTTCTTTTTTCCATAAAGAGTATGACATATGACATATCTAACATATTGCATTGTGACAGAGAATGTGTCCCCAATTCTTTCTCTTAGACTACATAACATGGAGCTTTAGTAAGTCATTCTCTCATCTGTAAACAAAATCATCCAGTTTTCGAAGCTAAAACTTTGTTTAAGTAAGACAATTTGTCCATGCTAATTTTGTCTCCTGTAGATCAGTTGTGATAGTAATTCTTGCCGTCATTGCAGTGTCGTGTAACCTCGCAGAGCATGTTTGTAAACAGCATAGTAGTCGTGAGGACATGTGCTGTGTTTAGTCTAAAGCCCAGTGTCCAAGTTCCATTACACTGATGACAAATGATGAGTGAACACTGTAACCATTCACTGAGCGTTTCATAGCGGTGCCTAAAGGTGTATTTTTGTGTGCATTTGCATTAGCGTGTATGCATAAGCTAGAGTGGTATAATCCTGACAGTCAGTTACGTCAAGGGGCAGTGGCTATTTGTAGCTGTACTTACAGTTATTTGGTCACACTGTCTACTGAGATTGTAGACCACTGCTAAATGTTGCTTAAGAAGGCTGCTAATCCTTCTCATTTCTTACAGGCATCTCAGATTAGACTGTGCGAGACAACAGGGGTTCCGCTGTCTGAACTCTGACAGACCACACACACATACAAGACCCATGTCTCATGTGCTCAGGAAGTGTGTTTCTCTTCGCTCTGTATTCAGACTCTGTGTTATTTACTCCACGTCTCAAGCACATTGCTTCTCTGTGTCCTAATAACACTAGTTACTTAGCCAGCCTGTGCTCTGCCAGTACCGTGTGTGTTGGTGCAGCATCCCTTTGCAGATTTTTGCACTTCAATGTGAAATGTCCGATCATTGAGTTTATGGTTGATGACATCAGTAAATGTGATTTGTTATCACCCACAATGACCAGGCTCCACACTGTTACTGACAGGGCAGAGCACTGAAACACACATGATTTCAAAGTGGGCTTATTGTATTTATTGGCCTATTTAGGAAAGCCTGTCAAAAACGATTTAATGTTGCTGACTCCCATTATCTTTTTGTACTTCATTTATTTAGAGCTCACAGTGATGTAGCCTAATGCAGATATAATCAAACGTCAACCAGACCGATCACATGGAACTGTCCTTGGCTTAGTGATGCCAGCTGGATGAGTCAGCCCAGTGCATGGCATTAACACAAGCTGTGAGAGAAAAAAAACTGTGATCAGAAGAGCTACAGTAACAACAAAATGCAAGCCTTTAATGTGAAAGCAGCTAGATGCTCTCGATATAAAATTTAGCGAGTGCCAAATGAAAGCTGAGGCTAGTTCATATTTAGAAGTCAATGAAGATAAAGACTTGGTGTAATACAGCTGTCCACCTTTTCACCAATTTTATTGTGTATTTTCCAATACACAATTTGTACTGTACAATAATAGAAATATCCATGCATATCTGTTGAAAGATACATTTGCTATATTTATCATTGTGGTTGTTGGTGGTTTCAGTTGCTATTGATGGACACAACCATCTTATGGTGTTTCTTATGTGTCAGCATCACTCTGACCAAAGGTGGGATGATGAATTCTCTCACTTCCTGTGTCAGTTTTGTCGACTTTTTCCATCCTTCCCCTCAGCACAACTGCTGACTCACACGGTGCTGTTTCAAGCTCCTCTTACCAGTTTTCCTGTCAGCCTTGCACTGCATGCATATAGGCACTTCTTTCCTTGCCTCATGACTATGATAACATGAAATACGTACAAATATATTAGTTTAGCAAACGCCAATGACATTAATCCATCAGTCAGCCTCAGCTGCTAGTATTAAGAGATGTCTGATCTGGTTTACAACACAACTGAGGGGAGGTTGGCTAAAAGTTGTTTTTAAAAAAGTTAAACTTTAGTATCTATGTTTCTGTCAGAATTATCTTTTAATGACCTACAGTCTTTGGTCAGGAGTCTTTCTTGGTTACACTAGAGGAGATCTATATAATATCAACAACTGACAGTGACTGTAGTTAAATTGAAATGAACCCATTGTTAATATCACTTCACATCTTAAATGTAAAATCAAAAAAACAATATAACAACATACAAACAATATAACCTTACGTGACTGTCCCTGTTGCTTAAAGTTCACAATGCAATTACAGAATTATCATTATTAAGTTAGTTTTTCAACTTGAAATGTATGTGTTCATTCTCTTTTCTTTATCCCTCTATTCATTTGCAGGGGGTTTTGCCATAGTTTTTTTGGTGCGGACTCATCAGGGCTTACGTTGTGCACTAAAAAGGATGTATGTCAACAATGAACATGATCTGCAGGTCTGCAAACTTGAGATACAGATTATGGTGAGTAAGATAGTCCAGTAACTGACTGCTGAGTTCAGCAAACTACACTTACTAGGAAGTGGTCTTTTATGAGCTGAATGTGTTGAAATGAGTGGAATCACAGGCATAAGGAAAATAATATAATATAACTAGAGAAATACAGAATTGACATTCACATATTTTCTTTGATTTTCTGAACTTTTTTGTCTGAAGTCTTAATGCTTGAAGTCCTATGTACTTCAAGTACAAACTCTGAGAATTATCTGAAAATACTCTTTGACCCAGGAATAGTGATGGCAGCGGAAGGGAGCTCAAGGGTTGGTTTGTAGGTAATGCCCATGTAACGCAAGGAATTCAGCTGAAAATGTTGAATTGGCACTTTGCCATCTATACTCCCTTGCTCATCCATTTCCCAACTACAGTCCTTACTGTAAATTAAACTAAGCAGTTCCAGCAACCACACCCTGGGTGGCTTGGCTATTACTGGATTGTTATCATTATTACTTCCAGACCTTTAGATAGAAATAGACTTAATAGTTAAAAAACATGGATGTATTTTGTAATTTACCAAGCCAAACGTTTTGGACTGTAAAATCTGTGAAAACTGTATCTCCGTGTTTTGTCATTGTTGCTCTTTCTGTTTTTGTTTACACAGAGGGACCTAGTGGGCAACAAAAACATAGTTGGTTTCCTGGACTCCAGCATAACTGCAGTTGGAGCTGGTGATGTCTGGGAAGTCCTAATCTTAATGGACTTCTGTCGAGGTAAATTGGCCCACCACCCACCCACCCCCCCTTGCGCCTTCCTGTCTCTGTTGAATTCACATCACCATCAGCTTCTCACAGCATCCTGTTCTGTTCAAAGGCAAATGTTCAATCGACAGTTGTCGTGGTCGATAGAACTTATGTGTCAGTCGATACATAACTGAGTGGTGTTGTTAATAGAAAGTTCAAATATTAACATTACTGTATAGTTGTTGAAGCCTCTACAGAGTAAAGTTGACAGAAAACAAAACTCTGTGAAAGAATTTTGCTGAATGTACGCTTTTGTATTTATTATAGACGTTAAAAAAAATTTGAGAAATCATTTTATTACTTGCTATAACCTCCAAACAGGAAATTACATGGAAGTTAGTGATCCGGTTATGGCAGTGTTTATGTGGTTGTTCACTACTTTTAATAGTCTCTTAGTTGACCTATTTATTTTATGTAGGTGGGCAGGTGGTTAACCTAATGAACCAGCGGTTACAGACAGGCTTCACTGAACCCGAGGTGTTACAGATCTTTTGTGACACATGTGAGGCGCTCGCTCGTCTCCACCAGTGCAAAACTCCAATTATCCATCGAGATCTCAAGGTAAGTTTAATTCATTTCCCAATATGCACATACTATAGCTGCATAAGGCTAGGTAACTGATAGCCACACAAATTATTTCTAAGAAATCTATTGTGACATTGCTGTTTACATAATCCATCAGTTTTTACAAGTCTCATCTTGTCTTCCTCATAAAGGTGGAAAACATTCTCCTGCACGATCGGGGGCACTACGTGCTCTGTGACTTTGGAAGTGCCACCAACCGCTTCCAAAACCCTCAAACAGAGGGGGTGCCAGTCGTAGAGGAGGAAATCAAAAAGTGAGTTTTCTTTATACTTTCTTTATATCCTTTTCTCTAACTTTAAAGTTCAGAAGCTCACTGGTCTTCTCTCAACACCAGGTACACTACTCTGTCATACCGTGCTCCAGAGATGGTCAACCTCTATGGTGGAAAGGTCATCACAACAAAGGCAGACATTTGGGTGAGAAGGACTGTGTTCATTACTATGCTACATTATGCTCACTATACGATCACATAAATTCACTTTCTTAATGACATGCTGGATATAGTGTGTTGATTTTCTTGTCTGTATAGGCCATGGGTTGTCTACTCTATAAGCTGTGTTACTTCACACTTCCTTTTGGGGAGAGCCAAGTGGCTATCTGTGATGGCAGCTTCACAATCCCAGACAACTCCCGCTACTCCCAGGACATGCACTGTCTCATTAGTGAGTAGCCTTGATCATCAGATTATACTCACTGTCCTACTTACTGCATATCTACCCTGTAAATGTGCAGTTAACTTTGTCTATGAATTTTCATGTTTCTGACTCAAAATAAAATTTACTTCTCAGGATACATGCTGGAACCTGACCCAGATAAGAGACCAGACATCTACCAAGTATCCTACTTCTCCTTTAAACTGGCTCGACGAGAGTGTCCAGTCCCAAATGTACATGTAAGTCAGCATGGCCAGAGGAAGGACAGGAATTTGAGAGAAGAATATACTAAAGGGTTAATGGTTGATAATGTAGGCCTTGTTATATATCTCGTGTATGATGGTTTCAGTTGTCTCCTTGCTTTCCAAAAAGAACACAGTTCGAGGCTATAATGATACTGAAGAGAAGCTACGCTTTCTAGCTTTTGCCAGTTGGCTGCCCTCCATTCTTCATGCCCTTTTCTAATGTATTTACAAAGTAGCTTGGCACCTGAACGTCTGATTCAGCCAAATTCTGCCAAAGTATTATTAAAGTGGGCAATTACTTTGCATTAATGGAAGCTGCAAATCCATACGGTAGTTTAGCAGTGACGCCCAAAATATTTTCTTAATACCTGACTGATATAAAAATTTTAAACTGTTTGGTTTGATTGTCTTTGATAAATTGGAAATCCTCTTACTGTTGTAGAATTCGCCCATTCCTGCAAAACTTCCTGAGCCCATCAGAGCCAGTGAAGCAGTGGCCAAAAAGAGTCAAACCAAAGCCAGGTGAGTGGCAAGCAAAGCATTTATTATTATCATTATAGGACACTCTACCCTTACCCGTCAGTTCTCTCTTTTTCCTTCCATCAGACTTACAGACCCCATTCCTACCATGGAAACCTCAATTGCACCTCGACAACGACCCAAGGCTGGCCAGGCTCAGCCCCAGCCGATATCGGGCATTCTCCCTATCCAGCCAGCTCTCACTCCTCGCAAGAGACCCAATGTGCCAGCTGGAGCGTCCCAGGCCATAGGTATACATAGCTCTGTAATATCTCAATATGTCAGTGTTAAGACCATTGGTGATAGAAGTGTGCAGTTATGATGATGGTTATCCTGGTGATAATATACTAATATTTGCAAAAGAATGTATTGGACTTAATGAACTGGTCCAGGATTGTATTCCTGCTGGTTCAATGAACCTGTTCTTAAAAGGCTTTTGTTTGTCTTTTTATGAGCCCTGTGACAGTTTGACAGGACCATCCATCTGTGGCCCACTTACAAAGACAGAATAGATGGTGGCCTGATGTTACATTACTTACAACAACATATTCCCATACAGCTCATGCACTTGCTGCATCTCCATCTTAGTAGTGTTTGTGAGATAAAATGTTAATTTATTGAAATGAAAAGCAAAAAATACAATAGACACTATCAAAAACATTTGAATATTTAACTGTGCAAAATAAATGCATTCATTGTCACCATAAAATGTTGTTGAGTATGTCCTGGTTTTGACTTCAGATGAAAATAGAGACAAGGTTTAAAGTATCACTTCACCAAAATATTACCAGCTATTGAAAAACTGTTCATGTTTTTTGGAGGGTCCTTTTTGACATTCAGGGAAACATACAATTACACGAATACTTGCGCACACACACACACACACACACACACACACACACACACACACACACACACACACACACACACACACACACACACACACACACACACACACACACAAACACATGCTTTTACAATATGTCAAGAGTTTGTGTATGTGGCAGCTGTATGAAAACGAGAATCTGTGCGATTGTTATTTGCACAGATTCCTCACGTCATCAGAAATGTGGGTGCAACTTTAAAAATATAATTTTGAAGTGATAAATGACAGTTTTTGTCTCCTTTCCAGGTGTTGGTATCAGTGGCCCACCTCCAGCTGCAGCTGCTGTCCAACCTGCTCAACAGGGCCCTGCTGCACAGGCTGCATCACAGCCAGGCCAGGCGGCCAGCATGCAGCCACAGGCTACACCGCAGCATCACCAGCTCCTCATGAAGCAGCAGCAAGCCTCGGCCTTCTTAAGTCCACAGAGTAACCAGCAGGTAGGCATCCATGCAAAACAAGAATGGAAGTACTGTTGTAGTACTTTACAGTACTGTAGCTGCATTGTGTGTTTAACTCTCACTCAGGAGTGCTATGCACACATGCTGAGACGTTTTCAGGCATAAGGGTCTAATTTTCAAACTAAAATCATTAACAGACCCTTTTGGGCAAATAGTTCCAGGAACAATGTTTGGAGCTAACTTGTGGAATAAATGTAGCTTCATTCACAGAATATTCCTGCTTTCTTTAGCACAGACATGTTTGATTTTCCACAGATTTCTACAGATTACAAATTAGACCCATAACGAAAAAGCGATGGCTTGGTTTGAGATATGATTTTTATCAAAATATTTGAAGGTAGCGTACAGGAGTCCATCTGCTTTCTAGAAAAGCTCTTGTAGCTGAAAAGCCCTGTATGTTGACCTGTGTAATTGACTATTTACAAAAGGGAAGCTACTTGTGGTGCACGGTGACACCGTGGTTGCAGGTATTGTGAATGTATTTATTTCAATTAGCAGTACAGACACAGTTTGGATGATCAGTTTGTTCAGCTATTCTTTATTCATTTCGTAGTCGTTGTCCATGCAATATCACACACAATGTGATACCACACGCAAACTGATGTATTGCGCTGGTAATGAGTCATAATCTAAAAACGGTCAAACACGTTCTGCACATCTGTTTGACCATGCTATCTGTGTGGCTTTTTTTGTTTGATGTTTTCAATGTGAGTCTTTAACAGACCATTCAATTTTCCATGAATGTTCCTGGTTTATAGTGTATTTTTGTAAAACCTGCAGTTAGTTTCAGTGAAGATTAAAATTCAGTTGTACTTCATATGTAATCACTAAACTAAACTGGTACTGAAAACTAAACACTGAGAAGCACTCTATATAAGTCTGCTGTGCTTGTCAAAGAGGAATAAAACATGATAAAAAAAATGTATTTAAACTGGACCAAAGTTTGAAACAGAGCCTTCCTCATGACTGGCTGTGTGGTATTCCTATGTAGCATCAACTGGTACAGAGCCTCCATCACCAACCACAGCAACAACAAACAGCGTCTCAGGCGTCTACTGTGCTGCAGTCCAAAGCTAAACCTGTTCATCCAGTTGTTACTCTGCAACTGCAATACCAACAGCAGCAGCAGCAGCATGTAGTCCATGAAACAGCAGCTCCCCATCTCACACCTATCCCTGAGTCTGCAGTCATTGGTCCTGCAGCTGACCCAGAGGTTGCGGTAACATCCTACTCCTGCTGCCGTCTGCTGCTCTTTGGGTTGGGGCTGATTATTAGTTTGTCTGTAACGAATCACACCCAGATTTTTACTCTTTTCAACTTTTCTTAGCAGGAATGGTCTTAGAATATAAATGTGTTGATGCTGTGTAGCTACAAATGTTCTTTAATGATGTCTTTATTAGAAAAATGCCATTGGATTATTACATAGACACTGTATAAATCATGTTACAACTAAATGATTTACTTTAGCAGTCTACACTGCTTCTTTCATTCACCTACTGTATGTATTTTCAGTTAACTCAAATCATGAGGTGCATCTGTTTCTGTCCAATCTTTATAATGGGAATATTCTCTTCCCTTTTCCATAACATGATTTTCTCTGAGTTGTGGTTTTGGAGGTATTTATGATACATCGTTGTCTTCAGATTTTCTTTTCCAACTGATCTCGCTTGGTCTTGGGCTTTTTGTCCTTTCATCTACTAAACAGATTCTCTAGCATCAGTTTTCCGTAGTCTCCAATTCTGAGCCTTTATCTTCTCATTACAGACGGCTGCCCGAGGGATTCACAAAGTAGGCTCCTTGACACCCCCCTCGTCGCCAAAGATGGCCCCTAAGAGTGGCCACAGACGCATCCTGAGCGATGTCACCCACAGTGCCGTGTTCGGGGTTCCAGTCAGCAAGTCCACCCAGCTACTTCAGGCAGCCGCGGCTGAGGCCAGCCTCAACAAGTCCAAGTGAGCAGAATTAACTCCCTTCAGTGATCTGAGGATGAACTGTCCTTTCATGGCACTGAGTGAGCTCAGAAGGCCAATAGACAGTCCATTCATATGACAGAACCCCAAAGGAGGATAAACGGCCCTTTTACATCTCAGAGAATCCAGCTTGAGAAGAATCACTTAATTCAGCCTTTAAATAACTCACTCTTATTTGCATACATCAGTAGGCCAGAGCCAACAGTCTAAAAACCCATGATCAAATTTCACTGTGCCCTTGTTTGTGTTTGCACCTCTGCACATTGCAGATCAGCCAGCACTACTCCTTCTGGCTCCCCCTGCTCGTCCCAGCAGAGTGTGTATCATCCAGGTGATGGTGACGCCCCGTCAACCCTCACTGCACCCAACACTCAGCCCAGCTGGAACCCCTTTGGGGATGATAACTTCTCCAAGTTAACGGCGGAGGAGCTGCTCAACAAAGACTTTGCAAAGTTAGCTGAGAGTAAGTTCAACTTGTTGACTGCATACTTACACCTGCACCATCGGTAAATAGTTGTGTAATGTAAAAATAATTGTTACTTTGCTGTTTGTCTGTGCACAGCTGCTGCACCAGGGGAGAAGATCACAGGCTCCAGTGAAAATCTTATTCCAGGGCTCAATGCTTTTCCAGGTAAGGCTTTGCTTAATTCCCCTCAGTATGTCTCATTCCTGGAGATACCATATGTTCCAGGAGTCTTCTCTTTGATTGATCTATCAATCATTTTTATAGCCTAGTCCAACCTGTTCTTTTCTTCTGTTCATGCTCTCACATTCCTTCATTTGTCCTCTCCCATCTATATTCACTGTGCAATGTTAAGCTGAAAGATCTGCAGACATCATGAACGCAGGTTCAGCGTTGTTGACTGTCCCGGACCCTTTTAATACCCTTTCACTCTCTGACACCACAGGTAATTTTCTTGTCACAACATGACAGAGTACGAGCCATGCCTTTGATTCTCTCAGGCCTTGGGCTCTTGAACAAATAAATTCCTAGAGCTTACTGTTTTTATTTACTGAGGTAGTTTCCTGGACATCACACTTCCCAGAGGGGAGTGTATGAGTGCTAGTTTTGTGGTTGGGATTTGTACACAGTCCTATCTTGTTGACATAGCAAGCAGCCTCACAGTGGCTCCTTGTCAGCTTCCATGAATAGAGGCCGTAGCTACAGCTAGATCGAATCTCGTTTGCAGATCTGTGCTTTTGCTGTTGCCTGGTAACGTGAAGGACAAATTCTCCTTTGTTAATTGGATTGCCTTACTGCTGGAGGAGCCTGCTTACCACCACCACTAAGAACAAGAGAAAGTTCAGCACGCTGTTTTGTTAAAATGATGTCCCAGCCTTTTATGTTCTCCTCAGTTTAGCGTTTAGCTCTGTTTGGAAGTGTATGCTTCTTAGTTGTGTAACCTCCTTTTGTGTAGTTGTTTAAGGTCTGAACTGAAAGGATAAAAATGTTGAGGCTGTTACATAATCAGGGTGTGGTTAATCTTCTCAACCCAGCCTAAGCTGTCTCTTTGACTCTCTGTGTATCACTCATTCAAATAGGATGCACACAAGTAAACACAGAAGCAGCTGAGCAGCATTTAGAGAGAGAATATTTGAATTTAGAATAAAAAAAATGTAGCGTACTGTATAAAGCATTTTGAATATCACATGTTCTCTATTGACTTCAATGGGAGAATTAGCTTGGTGACATTTAGGATTTGTAAAAAGCTTTCATCAGTGTTGGCCTCTTTCTTATAGTGAAGAGGGCAAAAGGTCACATCTGCTGCGCCATTTTCTGAGCCAACACATTCCTTGTCTAAGACCCCCACCCCATTTTGACCCATTGCAGTTTCCTGTAAGTATGAGCTGCAGTGAAAAGTCAGTCATCTTTCGATTCACGCATGGACTGTATTTCAACTTCATCAAATCCGTAATTAATGTACTAATTTACAGTCTTAAGCTTTGCCTTGACAATAATTTTCACACACAGGGAAAAGCCAACTTCATAAAGATGTCCTCTGCTCATTTGTCTGCACTGGTCCAAAAATGAGTTGAGAGGGTTGGCATGTGGTCAGAGTCTAGTGCAGTGGGACAGTCACTGTCCACTGTGGAGAAGCTCGCTGATTGCTGTGGCTTGTTTATGTAATTAAATGTTTGCTGTTTCGTAATTTAACAGTGTGTGGGGGGAAACAGCTTTTCTTCAGCATTAGTTTGGCATGATAATGTTGGTAACAAATAGAGTTTATTTCTCCTTTGAATCATGAGATTTCACTCCACTAACACATCTTGAAGTATACAGGTGTGGTGTGCAGAACGAAGTAAACTAACACATCATTAAGTTATTTTATCACAACATTATAGCTTTTCACCCTGCAAGCAACCTGATTTTCAAGTCATGGGAATGTGAAATTACCTTGAAATGTTGATGTTTTGGTCTTCATGCAAAACTGTAACTATCCTCACTGATTTTGTCAATATATAATATTTTCTCCCATTGCTATAGCTTCATATTTCTAGTTTTTCTGCTTCTTTTTTATTTGTATGCAAAATCCTCCCTCGTTGCCTTTTTCTATCTGTTGCAATCTGTCCATTACCTCTCTCCATCTTCTCTCTTTGGCTCGCTCACAGAGAAGCTGATTGAGGGACTGAAGTCCCCTGAAACTTCTCTGCTGCTCCCCGACCTCTTAACCCTGGCCGACCCCTTCAATAGTTCTGCAGAGAGCTCCACCAATGGTACCAGCTCTGTTCTTGTCCCCTGCCTTGCTCTAAAATTCCCCATCTGCTCTGCATGCATCTTCTTGCCTTCCTTCTCCTCTTTCACTCACATGGTCATGAAGTCAGAAAGACCCACTGGAGAAAGGAGTAAAGAAGGCCTTCACTACTTCTACCCCCATTTAGACAATGCATTTTCCTCTTACATTACTAATAATTTCTTTGTGTTGCCTTTCTCTTTCCATTTGATGTCTCCATGTAGCAAAGGCTCAGGTGTGTGTGGATTCACTTATTCCTGGTTTGGAAGCCCCCCAGGCCCAGCGACATTCAGCCCAGCCAGAGCTCATCCCCGCCAGCATGCCAGGTTAGCAGCCTGGGCCACATAAAAGGAAATCTAAGAGCAATTTTCTGTAGCATTTTCACCAAAGAATAATTATCTCCAGTTATGATCCTGTTCCCCTTGTCACTCGTTGATGTCATCTTGACCCAAGGTTTTTATTGAGGGTTTTTTTGTTTTGTTTTTTTTTTTTTTTTTACAGCTGCAGTCACTTTATTTTTTTGTGTGGAAAACACAAACTATTTTTTTCTAAGTTCAGTGACTGTAGCAGTTGCTTTATTGTAGCACAGTGACGTGATGTTTTCTGGGTGTGAAGCAGTCTATTCAATGAGAACATTGAACATATCTTTAATTATCAATGCTAATCTTGGCCAAAATCCACCTACAGTCTACATTCTTCTGTAATGATCAATATTAGCTGTAGATAACATGTAGGTTTTGGACTTGCTACTGCCCCTGATTTTGTAGCATATTTTCTATGGAATATGCACCAAGACCTTCTTTTAATGCTGATGATTATATGCTTTCAGCGCTAAAATAATAAACTGTCTTACTAACAAAATGCATTTGCCTCTGCTCCTTCAGCTAATAATCTTATTTTTACTGTGACCCCTTGTCCCTCTGGCTTTGCTTCATCCTGTCATGCTGTCTCAGACTCTCTCACTGGGGAAGACACTCTGCTGGGTTGCGATCTGTTATCTCGTACTTCTCCTCATGGAAACCAGTCTGTTTCTGCTCTCCCCTCCTCCTCCTGCTCCTCTGCTCCTCCTGGCTCCGGCTCTGGATCCTGTCTGGAGGAGCTGCCGCCTGGTCAGACAGCCTCTGGTAAGACCTCCCCCTTGCAGCACCCCTCAGCTAGCCTTATGTCTGCCAAGGGTTTTGGCCCATGAAACCATCGCAGACCTCAGAGCATTTCCATAACAACAGGGCCTGTTCAAACAGAGAAAATAAAAACTTACACATGTGATACAGACATGGAATTAGACACATTAAATGCCAGCTTCAACAGACCCTTGACTCATTTGTAGAAGAGCCAAAAGCCACCTAAAATGCATGGCTTTTAAATACTGTGACTGCCCTGGCTCCATCTATTTTTAATCTACTTGCATCCTCCTTTCTTTTTGCTCTTTTCTTTGGCTGAGTTAACTTCTTTCCCCCTCCATCATTCCTTCACTTCCTCTTCCTTCACCGCAGACTCTGCTTTCCTCATGTCGTGTGGGGAGAAGGGCAATGACGACGAGTTTGACCCTATTCCTGTGCTCATCTCCAAAAACTCAAATCAAGGTAAGGTTAATAGAATCCCGAGATGAGCACTTACAACCCCTGAAGCCCAGACTGTGAGCCACAAAGATGAAAGATTTAGCCCCTAGTCCAGTCATAGTAGCTCATTCCTGTGGCTGCTGATGTGAGAAGTCTTGTATGGGTGTGCTTGTCACATTAAGGCTTTTTTATCCCATCAAGCTCTCACATTAGTCATCTTTCTCTCCTTTATGTCTAATGTTATACTCCCAGTGCTTCTCCGCCTTGCAGGTGTTTGGCTCCTTGTAGTTTATCCTGAAAGTCTCCTCATGTTAGAATTGCATTCCCTTACTCTCCCCCTGTAATGATGCAGCTGTATAAAATAATCCCAGCTCACTCTCTGCCTGTTTCTCTTTCTCTTTCTGCCCCCGTCCATGCATCTCTCTGCTCTGCCATCATTATCCCCTCATCCTCATCAACTCCTCGCTTTTAATTTCTCCATACAACCTCTGTTAATATTACTTATTCTTTTGCTTGTCTTTCACAATCTCCCTCGACTCTTCTATTTCTCTCTCTGTCTCTCTCTCTCTCTCTCTCTCTCTCTCTCTGTTTCTGGCACGTTTCAGGTGGTCACTCGCGCAGCAACAGTGGCAGTTCAGAGTCCAGCATCCCCAACTTGGCCCGCTCCCTTCTGCTGGTGGATCAGCTCATCGACCTCTAGAGGGGGTGGGAGAGGTCGAAGGGGCAGTGTGCAATCCTAACGAAGGGACAGGGGAGGGTGGGGGATAGAGATGGGGAAGCAGAGGCACTTAATGTAGCACCTTATGAAGTGAAACAGTGGAGCCAGCATAGATCGGTTCAGTGGAACCTTCTCTTTATGTGCCTCAGTGGCCTCAACTCCATCTCTAGTTGCCTGATTAGCTGGTTTCATATATCTCTGCTGGCTGTTGACATTCCCACGCTGGTAAAAATCTTTTCATTAATGCCTGAGCATATCGTCTGCTTCTGTCCCGCCTACACCATGGTTTTCCTCATGCTTTCCTCATACTTGCATTAATATCCCTCATATGAGTGCACTGCCATGGTGATCAACTGTCATCATATGCACATGTTAAAATGCTTGATCACAGCTGCATTGCGCTCACTTTGTGTGCTTGTTCAGGGTTGAAGCTTTATTTAAACAAGCCACCTTCAGGCATGCTCATTTGTGTCAGGGGTCTGACAACAGAGTGAGGAGTGAAAATGCTGTAGACCTCCTGGATAAATTGATGCACTTTCCTATGAAAGCTTTGAACTAAACTCTTGACCAAACAAAGACACACCCTGAGTGAACCACTGAGAGCTGTTTGCACGGATTGAACCAGTTTGTGAAGGGAAAAACATGTCAGCTTTTACAGATTTCTGAAACTGTTGTGGTTCATGGTTGTGCGATGAGAATTAGGCCACATCTTTCAAACATTTTGTTTGGATATGATCTCACTGCACATGTCGAGTCTGCACCATGTTCGGAAGTCAAATCAGTTTGATTCTGTGCTACTTTTCTCATATAGTATACAGTAACCATGTTTTTAACTGCTAGTTATCTAAGCTAACTTAGTACATGTATTAAGCTCCATAGGCTTCAGCATAACTGTATATTGTCACCTCTCTCTGGATGTTAAACAGGGTATTATTTCTCCCAAATAACACCTATAAATCTGTCAGTCCTGATGATGTCTTGAAATCCTGAAATTGGTGAAGTCAGTGTTAACATGGCTGTTTAATTCGGCTCTGTTACCACAGCAGGATGCTTTCACTGTCAGCAGTATCTGTATCTACAACATATAGGAAGAGCATTAATGGTATGTGTGCATTTTATAATTACATATTTTTATGTGCTGGGTCATGACCTCACCATCACGTCATGATATGCACAGCAGAAATAAAAGGGAATGAAATGAGTCCATGCCAAAGCTAGTGGAAAGATTTTATTATGTGGTAGTTGTCATGTGTTGGTCTGCTCTCAGGATCAGTGAAGATGAGCAGATTTTTAGCAGCAAAGCACTGATACAGAGAGGGAGGTACACTGTAGATTTCATAGTTATTTTGTTTGTGTTTCTGGGCTGACAAATAAGCTTTACATGAAAATCTCCCTCTCCCATTGACATCCTCTCTGTCTTATCTAGCCAGTCCGTTCCTACCACGTACCTTCAGGTCACTCGGCCAATGTGACCTTCATTTCAGCTAGAGGAGATATTCAGAAGAATCCATTATATGTACATAAAATCACTTTTCAGTTTTTTCTCATTATTGCTCATGTCAAAACTGGTAAAAGTAGATTTTTTTAGTGTGTAATATTTAAAAGCATTTCATCTATCATGGTATGAAAAAAATGTGACTATTATTGATAGTGCTTTAGAATGAATGTATGAACTAAGTACCATTATAAAATATGTAGAATTTATAAGGATATATAGAATTAAAATGTGTATGAAGCTGTATTTAAGAGTGCAAAGATGTTGACCCTGTGTCCAAAGTCCCTTTGTCTTATCTCTCCATTCACAGTCAAGCATTCAGCCAGTGCTTTTGGTTGAGATGTTATCATTGATACATGAAACAAAGTGCTTATGACTTACCTGACTGGGTAGTATTCTCAGCTCTCAACTTCTTCACATAGCACTGGTACTTGTAAATTACTGTATGTTACTGGGACAGATTTTATCCAACAGACAGTAAAACAGAGCTGATGACGGAATTTACTTCCTGATATCTCTGTAGCACCTTTCACCTCTTTCATTTGGCTGATGATTAAAGGAAGAATTGTTTGGCTTGGTAAAACAGCTGTTGTATTACAGTACACGTGTTCACAATAACTACATTCTCAATGTTAAAATCCCACCAAGTGTTAGCTTTCATTTTGGATTTTCTCAAGCCAAGGAAGGTTCATTGCATAGGCACACGGCTCTACTTAAGGTCCATATCACCTTATATATTTACATACATACAAGAAACAATGTATTTACCCTGATATGCCATCACTGGTATATATGCATAAGGTTTGGGGCATGAATAGTTTTCTCCTCTGGCCTGTATGACATTTTGAAGGGTGATCACAGACATTGACAGTACTGTTAGAACTACCATGGGTAAACAGAGCTATGCTTTCATTTTATTTATCTCCGTCTTGCTCAGTTAAGTCATTTGCATTTGTGTGGATAATCTATGCAATCCTACAATAATGCTTCATGTTCTTATCAGACACTACAGTGCTGTATCCTGTAGAGTTCTTGCCTTGGCCGTAGAGTTTTACTTGTGTTGCTGTGTGAAACTAATGTACTTACTGTGCTGGTTGGGTTGAAATGGTGACAGGCATAATAATTAATATGTTTATATCAAAATGTTTGACTTGAATTGGCAGCAGACGTCCATATGTCAAAGCAGGATCATTATCGAGTGTGTACTTCTATTTTTATGAATTAAGGTTAAAAAGAGAGACACTGAATAAAACGCATTAATGTGAATATAAATTAAGTCTCTTTGGGTCACATTATTTGATTTTTACTCTAAAGAGCAAAGGAGCTAGCTGACTTTATCGACAGTCTGAAGATTTGTTTTAATCGGCTGACAGATCATTTTTCCATCTGGGAACCAAATTAGATTGCTGATACTTTATGGTATCTTGTAATGCTTTTCTGCTTAATATTAAACCATTATTTAATGTGTGCTTTGCCTCTTGGAAGTATGTTTACAGCTTTTAATACAAGCATCATCAAACACACGTCTGCCTGACAACTTGTGCTGTTGTCATTTTGAGCTTTCCTTCTCAGATTTAAAGGAAACTATCAGTGTTTTCTAGGTTTTCAAACCTTTTTCTCATCACCCCTCATATCGTAGCTGTTCTATGCTTCATGGATGTTAGTAGACACGTATTTTAAAATCACATTGTGATTCAAGGCCAGAAACTTTGGTAAAGGACTTTGGGTCCTTGAATTGTGCTCCTGCTTGGTAGGTAGTACCATAGACAGACTGCAGAGTCATTGAGTTGTATGGAGAAGGATGGATAGCTGTTATTCCACATGATTACATGGGAAGTCTCACTGACTGTTGTGCTTGGTAGTCAGTTCTGACCAGTGAGATGATCTCAAGGTAATTTATCAGTTTGATTAACTCTAATATTGGAAATGTGCTGTGAACAATTTAAAATACTGAGTGATGAGGGAAATTACCTGAAACAGTAAAACAAAACTGGTGTTTTCCTTTAATGGCTGCAACTAACATCTTCCCAAGAGCTGCTCGTTAACAGCTGCTGTCAACGCTGCCGAGGTAAGACTGATCTGTCTCTGCTCATCTGTGCAAACCTGTCTGTCCCTAACCACTTCTACTTTTGCCATGAAGGCTCTTAGTCCTTGTTTCCACAGAACTACTGACTCCCTCTGAGCTCCCTATACCTCAACGTAATCAATCCTAACTAAAAGCAAACTGCTTCCCCTAACACAGCTGTGCTGAAACCAATTTGTGGAAACAAGGTTAATTGATGTTGTAATAGTAGAGCTGGTAGTCTTGTTTGTGTCCTGTGACTTGTTCAGACTAGAATGTGCCTGTATTGTTGGAGTCTTTTGCTGGTTCCTCACTGTTGGGTCGTTCTCACTGATGAGTGGTTCACAGATTTTAGAGATGATCCATTGGTCATACAGTATGTTGTGTTTGATTGAGATTTGATGGCCTGCCAGATAAACAGGCAGTTGGACCTCAGATGGGAGAAGTTCTTTTTACTGAAAATATTTGCACTGCCTAACGTCTTTGTTCACCTTTGATATGCTTTTCTTTATCTCTGCTGTCTTACACAGATCTGCAAGGGGAGAGCAATGGCTACGCTGTGCTTGGGGAGGGACAAGAGACTGAACCTCCAGAAGGAGGTTCTCAAATAAACGAGGGCTGTGTGCACTCCAGTGATGAAGAGGAGGAGAAAGAAGTCCATAAGGAGGAGCAGCAGGATGAGGGAACCACTGAGAGTCACGTAGCAGCCCATGACTGCAGCGGCTCCAGACCTCTGCTGATGGAGTCTGAGGATGAAGAGGAACAAGGACCTCAGTTAGCCCTCCACTCATCTCCGCAATCCAGCACAGTACCAATACAACCATCTACTACCTTCCAACAACCTACTCCAAGCACCTTAGCTCAGAATCATACCCAGCATGTACCCGAGCCAGCTAAGGGGACAGATGTTGCTGCAGATGTCTTCTCTACAGCCCCCTTCCGGATTGCGCAAGAAGAAGCGTCTGACGTGTTTGCCAATGCTCCGTTTCCTCGCGCCACCCTTGCACCTCAGCAGCAGCTCGACGTATTCTCTCAAGCTCCCTTTGGAAAAAGAAAGGAGGCTACAGGAGCTCTGCCTAAGACCTCATACCCTCATGCAGCTGGAGTTCATGCTGTAACCCCTGATCAAGGTGCGTTGGGACAAGTTCCCCCTCAACCATTCCGCCCTCAAGCCCTGGCCAAATATTCCCGACACTTTGAGGGACCTGTACCCCAGCAGCTAGTAGCAGCTCACAGAGTAGTGTCTAACGTGAGCAGGCAAGCCGCTGTGGCATCAGTCCCTGTTGGACCTCTTCACTCATGGACGTCAGAAGTGAGCGCTGTAGACCCCTTTGTCTCTGCACCCTTTCACCTCAAGGCTCCGCAAGAAAAGCCCTGAAGGCACACTCAGAGGTCAGGGCAGCGGGCATCAGCGCCACTGAATTATGCAAACTACAACAGGCATACTGCATGCTGTCACCAGCGCTGCAGCTGGACTGCAGGCCTGCATGGATCTCATTCTCAACTGGCTCCAATTAGATCTGATAGTGCAAGGTCATCTTTACACTTGAATGCTCCATCAGAGTAAGAAAACTGACATCCTTCCCAGACTCCTAGTCACTTTTTATTTTATTTCCCATCACACCCATTTACCTTTTGAATTATCTTTAATCCTTTTGGTACGTACATCTACACATAGACGATATGGTGGTCAAGTATTTGATTGTTTTCTTGCCTACCTCAGTTACTTTTTGTGTCAGCGCTAAAACACCACAACAGTGAGGGAGTTCGCCTGAGGCCTTGGCAGTTTTAATTCCTGTATATTTGAGCTTTACTGTGAAACTATGATCTGATAACACCTCATTTCTCCATTATATTAGTTCATAACTTCACAGAGGCATGGAAGAGGAAAAGACGCAATAGAGCACCATTAGTGAGTGACACAGATCTGCAGTTTCTGAATACTATTGTGAGAGTTTTGTGACAAGATGAGGAATTCATCTGTAATTGCATCAAACATGAAATTTGTAAATGGTCTTACAACTGTACCCTCAAAGTCAGATGCTGGATAATGATGCATAGATATTTCAAAGATGACATTTGTTGATATGAGATGTTTTTTTTCCCTCTCTCAATCCAAAATGTTTGCATTTTTTTGTCATGTGTATTAATTTGTGGTCACTGTCCTGTCTAATGAAAATGGAATATCAGTGTTTGCTCCATGTAATGTACGAACCTTATATAAATGTTAGGCATAGAAAATTCATAATAGTAGTTCCTATGTTATGTAAATGTATTAGATCCACTTTAATTTGTTTCTCCTTACTTTGTGAGATGATATCGCTGAAGCCTTACACTCTTACAGTACTTCCCTCCCACCACATCGAACAGTATAAATCACTTTTGCCTTTTGTGCCCTCCTGAAAAACTGCTGCATTTAGGCCTACATCATTTTATTGCACTTGCATTCAGCACCAAATACTTGTGTACAATCATGTACAACTTCCATTTGCTGTCTGCAGTATGCATATGCACCAAGATTTCCATTTCATCTATCATAGACATCTCTGTAACTTCCAAATGTGCAACAACTGTGACTCACATTTACAAACAACCGAAGTGAAAACAATGCTTTCCTGCAGTCACACAAATATCTACAGCACTTATGCTTCGCAGTTCCAGTCAGGGATTGTAATAGTAGTATATTGTAAGTGAAATGTTGAATGGTGACTGAATGATGACATTCCTTTTGAATTTATTTCCATCATCATTTGGAAATATTTTATTATTGTCTTTGTGCTTTGTCAAATCATGGAACACTTTTTGGTTCCCACCAAGGCACTTTTAAGAAAGGGGATCCAACCTGTTTCAACCCAAAGTTTAAATCATGTATTCCTCTGTTGCAATGTAAAATCCTGTTTTCTTTTCTTTTTGACGTGTACAATCTTCTTTTTTTTTTATAAATGCTCACTTTTCTCACCCAACTTGTATACATGAAGGTTGCACATAGTCACTGACACAAAGTCAGGGTTCTCTAAGAATGGGTTTTGATTGTGACACAGCTGTAAAGTTTATTTTGAGCAGTGTTGCATAGGAAATCTTTGGAGGATTCAACAGATGATGATACTGTTGGACAAAAAAGGACAAAAAAGCACTCGAAACACTTGTTATGCTGCACAGCCTGCCTTTGAAAACCATGTTGTAAGTCATAAACAAAATATTAAATGAATGTAAAAAAAATTGCAATTTTGGTAGTTATTTATCATCACTGAAACATCCATTTGTGAACGTAACAATGTATATTATTTATTCAAGTACTGTAACTTAATACAGTTTTGAGGCACTTATGCTATTGTATTATGGTAATTTCTAATACACTACATTTTATTGAATGTTTTATTCTATTACATTTATCTGACAGCCAACTTACCAGATTTAGTTTTGTCATGCATTCACCTTGACCAGCTACAACATTCAAGTGTTGCTATATATATATATATATATATATATATTTTTTTTTTTTTTTTTTTTTTTTTTTTTTTTTTTTTTTTTTTGTTTTTTTGTTTTTTGAACATGAAAACATAAAGTGGTATCACCAAAGTTGGCTCTTTTTCAGAGACTAATAATATGTTCCTGTAGAGACTTATTTGTTCACTGTGAAATAAGAGAGGGCGCTAGAGGGCGGTAATACATGTACACACCGGGTATTAGCCGCCATTAAACATCAAGAAGAAGAAGAGTGGCAAACATAGTGGCTCTCCTTTTACACAGTAACGACATTGTTTACAAAGAATGCAGTAAGAAGTAAGTGATAAATACTACAGAATTTGTGATAAAATATATTTATATCGGTACACAGGTATGAAAACCACATTAGGTATAGGTTTATCTCGTCCGTTGCTGTTCTGAAAGCACCCGCCTTTTCATGCTAGCTAGTTCCTCGCTCGTGAATGATGTTTTCGTTTTGTATTGACTGTTTTTAATTATTTGTAATTTTATTATAAATCTCATCAGCTGAACGTAATTCTGTGTGTTAACTGGATGTGGACAGGTAGCGTGTGCCGTGTTGCCTTTTCCTGAGCACGATGGCTACTCAGAGAGTGCTCCCTCAGAGCAAAGAGACTCTGCTACAGAACTACAACAAGAGACTGAAAGATGACATCAGGTCCATCCTGGACAACTTCACAGAAATCATCAAAACAGCAAAGGTACACAGATACAATGGAGGGCATTATCACTATTGAGAGAATAGCACTTTTCCCTATGTTTTATCACAGCCTCTATGCTCCTCATTCTTTCTGCACATTTTGTCACTTGCCCTTCATACACGAATTATGAACTGTTCCCACACCGTTTTCTTTCTCCAGATAGAGGATGAGACGCAGGTTTCTCGAGCAACTCAAGCAGAGCAAGACCATTATGAAATGCATGTCAGAGCAGCCAACATTGTAAGTACCAACAGAGCACAATCGTCCGGAGTATAATGAATGTACTCTTTTTAAATAATATTTAAATATTAAATATTAATTAATGCAGGATTAACCACTTTGTATTTTTTAAAATTGGGGGGGGGGCAGGAAGCACCTGTCACATCTGTTTCTAGATGTCTGGACACTTTGAGTAACATTTCATATCCTGTTAAACTATATTAAAGGTGATAGCATATATTAAGTCATCCAAGTGAATTTGTTTAGAAGTAAGCACATAATACCCCTTGAAACCAACCTTTCACCATGTTTCCATTGATGTCTGTTGTTTTTTTTAATGAATGTAATCCCTGGTGATTTACTTGGAGGATATAGTTTGTAAGTTTGCTTTTCCCCATTTAATTTGCCTCCAAATAGTTTAAAGGTTGGGAAAATCATATTCTGACAGTGTATTCTGTGTTAACTTGTTCCAACTCTTTATTCAAGCTTTATGAATTTTGCACTGAGTGGAATATCCACACCTAAGAGTTCATGTTTGTTATGGCTGAACTGTCAAATTTAAACATTTTAGACGTCTTTTTAAACTTTGGATCTCCACTAGAATTTAAGATAAAGTTAGTTGGATTTGACCAAAATTTTTGTACTTAATAACTTTCACTGGTTGAACATTGAGGTTTCAGAGATTGTAAATGGGATTGTTTTATATACTGTGTTTGTAGCTGATGGTTTGGTAATGTCTGGAGTCCATAAGTAGGACCAGAAACATCATAATCATTTATTTTTAAATCCATTTCCTTCTTCTGTGTTATTGTATCAGGTACGTGCCGGAGAGTCTCTGATGAAGCTGGTGTCTGATCTGAAGCAGTTCCTGATTCTGAATGACTTTCCCTCCGTGAATGACGCCATCAGCCTCCAGAACCAGCAGCTCCGCACGCTGCAGGAGGAGTGTGACAAGAAGCTCACCTCGCTCCGTGATGAGATCGCCATCGACCTGTATGAGCTAGAGGAAGAATATTACTCCTCCAGGTACAAGTAGGCTCATACTTGTCCCCATACCACCACCTCTCTGCTGTCCCATGCCCAGCACCATGTACTGTCTCACCTTTTACCATTCACTGCTGAGCCCAAGGAAGGGTGTAGTTCAGCCAACATCTAAACTTGACACCTTTTGTGTTGAGTTTATCTCATTGTCATATATAACTGTACCTTTCATCAGCGCAAATCATTGCTGAGGGTTACTGTGATAGAGTTCATCTCACTAAGTGACATTTTTACTGATTAGCAAGTGCCTTGACTTTTTATTCTGCTCTATGACATCTATCATAATTGATCAAAGTGGAGGAGAATTCAGCATTAAAGGAGTGTACCACTGAAAATCCGCATTGTAAATGTAACAAGCTCTTGAACTACAATAGTTCAGCATGTATTTTTGGGCAATCATTGCAGTTTTCTGATGCAGTTCTAGAGCTTTTCTGAACAAAAAGCACTAGTGTGAATTCACTGTTGGGTGTATTTCTAAAGAGTAATCACACTTATAAGTTTCCTGGTCTGTAGCGTCCAATAGGCTTGAGAGAGGTTTTAACAAATATTGTCTGGTACATCGGAGAGACACATGCTTTAGTGGAATGTAAACAATGAGGCCTCGTAGTTCATTAATAACTAAATATTGTAAGTTGAAGTAACGCAAAGCTTTGTAGGTAAAGGGAACAAACCTTGACAAGAATTACTCATTAAAGGATCTAAAACTATATCAAAGTATAGGTTTTATTAAAAGATATAATTCATTGTAAGATTATTTATATGTACTATTTAAACCATAAATATAATGGTGGCGCCCTATATGCTACATTTTAAGGATGGACTGTGGAAGAATGTTTGTTATAGACTGTACAATAGGTCAAAGTTAAAGCTACTAAGACTTTCTCAAGTAGATGTTTTCTGTAAAAGCAATTAGGAAATATTTTATTTTATTGATTCCGTCCTAAGACCATAAGCTGTAACCATGCAAGTGGTTGTCAGTCACACATGGTGTGGTTTTACATGTGTATTGGTTTGTCCAGATGTTCCAATAGACCCAGAATAATTAAGAAATAAAGTAGAGACAAAACACAATAGTAGTTTGTCTTGTTTTGTGTGAGAAAGTATGAAGAAGTGTCTCTCAGTCCTGTTTGGTGCATGCTGGGTGTGGGTCTTCCTCGCTGCACTCGCTCTGCTTTCTTCTCCATGAGCAACTAATCCCACCTTTTTGCTGAACTTAAAATCAACAGTTGATCTTGAGTCATACCTCTAAACAGACAGCCGTTTTATGGGTTAATCATTTCCATTGCTTCTGCATAACCTCCATGCTTCTATCGTATGTGTGCCTTCATGTGCTCCTTTATGTGTATGAATGTGCTTATTCTGACCTCCTGCTCTTGTCTGCTTCTCTCTTTCTGTGCTGCGCTGACTCTTTGCCTCCTACTGGTTTCTGCTCTGCAAAGCTACAGTCAGTGGGACAGCTCTGATCTGCCACTGTGTGAGGCCTACAGACAGCGGGACAGTTGGGCCTCCCCAGGCAGCAGCTGCAGTTCTACCCAGGGCGACAGAGAGGATGTGGACGGACCTCCCTCACAGGAGACAAACCCCCAACACCACCTCAATGGACATGGGACTGCCTCTATAGAGAAACCATGAGGAGGAAGTTGGACACTGACTGGTATAGACTTGTGCTCAGTTTGGACAACAGCAGTTTGGCTAATTTAGTTTCCATTACACATTGTGAACTAGTGTCTGATTAGGTTTTGCCACAGTTTTGTGTTAAGGCCTTAAAACTAGACTAAAACTTTGGCATTGAGGTAGTTTTCTTTTTGCATTAACATATATTGCAGGAAAATAGTGAAATTAAGAAACTATTGAACAAGAACAGCCTGAAAAACTGATCAAAAGTAACATTTCCCTCAGTTTAAATGACTATTCAAAATGAATAGAAAACTTGCATACACTATATACTGTATACACTACTGAAATAAAAACATTTAAAACTACAATAAATTTTAGTGTACCTTTGCAGCACTGAAATAAAGATATACTTTTTTATATTCCTATGTTGGACTTAGCTCAAGTATTGAATGAGTGTATGTTCTTACATTTATTTTGTAAAAGCTTTTGGAATATTTTATTTCTGATTTTGTACTCCACCAAGCACTGATCAAATTAAAGAACAAGTTCAATGTTGTTGGATTTATCTTTTTAATCAAAACTGTTTTGAAAGCCTGAAAAACACAGATCTCCAACTTAAAGTTGAGACTTCAAAGTGAACTAAAAAAAAAAAACTAAATTCAGAGCAGGAATATCAATTAGTTTGACATATATCAAGTCCTTCCTGTATTTCCTAAAACATTATGGTCTTATTTGTCTGAATTCATTTTTATCAGACAATCCTGAACAAAATGAGCCTACATGATTTCTTCTAGATGAATTGTCCATTAACACAACACATTACAAAGTAGATGTACTGCCTGCAGATAATGACACGGAGCTATATACAATATTTACAAAGTACAACAGTGTCTTGGGAGTTCTGTCCCTAACAGTTGCTTTGGGAAACTAGTCTACAAGTTATCTTTATGTCTCAATTTCTTTAAAAGTGGGCATCATGTTGAGTAACTCTTAAAAACAAAAACAAAAGAACGTGTAGCTCCTCAATATCGTCGATTCATCTTCTTGAATTTCTCATAGTGGTAGTCATCTGTGGCCTTTTCGTTGTTTGGACGTTTGCGGTAGTTAGGCGGCGATGATGCTGTTCATTAAAAGGAAGTAATAAATCAGTTTAGAAGGTTTAAAAATAATCATGTGTAAGTATTATATTATTTGTATAAATATATTTCAAAATGATACCTAATTCCAAATATTTCATAAAAACACACAATGTTTTTCAAATAATGCTCCTATGCCTAATACAGTCTGGTGATTTAAAACATCTACACCATATAGAACAGTGTGTGACTGGGCTGTGTGCAGTCTCTTACTTTCTGGACCTGGTTTCTCGGTGTCTCCCACACGCAGCGGTCTTGCCTTGGGCTCTTCTCTGTGTCTGTGATGCCGCTGTGGTGCATTCACATCCTCATGATAGACTGAGAGAATAAATAAGCACGATCAGCCGACCTTTCACATCTCATTACCTCTCACTATATAAACCCCAGTGTTTACAGATTGACAAAACTCACAGCGGTTATGTTGGACATAGTTGACAGCGATGTTGGTTGGTACAAATGATGTGCCGTGGTCTTTTTTCTTGTTCCTTTGTTCTGCCAGAAGTTTGGCTTTAGCATCTTCTGTTTGGATAATGTTCTTTATCTTTGCACTAGGAAAGAAATCACAGCAGTTACATCCTTTCTTTCTGTTACTCACTGCCATGTCTCGATGTAGAATGTCTTAATCTTGAACATTGCATCTATAGGATCATTTTGAAATTTTCCTATACGCACTCAATGCCAAGATCGACTTCAGGGATCCCACTCAACATCTGATTGGATAACATCTCCTCGGTCTTCTTGGCAGAGTTGACTCGGATGTTCTCAGGCAGCTCATACAGGTGGTCCTCTGCATTCTTCACCTTAACTTTCTGTTCCTCAGCCTCCACCAAGCCTTTCTTCTTTTTCAGCTCAGTCTCAATATATTTCATCCTGTGAGGTGAGATGCATTTCTATGAAACAGCTGTGTGAGTATCCATAATTGCATTCTATTAGGTTTTACAACATTGTTTATGTAATTTTAGATGTGCTATAACTATTGCAGAAAAAATAATTCAATTATTTTTTTTAATTAAAATGAACAATCTAAACCAAGCATGCTGGCCCTTTAGAGAAAGCAGGTGTTGAATATTACTGTTCAACATGTAGATATACTCATGCAAACAAATCAAAGAACAGGTCCATGGTTGAGGTTTTGGTTTGGGATTAACCTGATCACCTAACTGAAGTCTGACCACTGTTTATCCAGACTCCACACGAATGCGACAGAGTATGTCACAAGTGGAAGAGGCGTACATACATGTCTGCATCCTCGTCTCTTCTGTTAGTTTCAGCAGAGAAAGAGGTGCCCAGGTTGAGGTCTGTCTCGTCTTCTGTCCTGCAAGTGGAACAAAGGTCAAATCAACGTCATATGGGATAACACACATTTCACAATTTATAACATAATAGTACATACACATTGTGTTAAATACACTTCATCAAGATAATTAAAGCCGCCACAGAGTTACTTACATGTCCCTGTTCCTGTCTTTGACTTTCTTCATGTCTACAACTCCTCCAGTCTTTAGTTTGAATGGGTCATTCTGTGAGAAAGGATTACTTTCAATAACACCGAAGCAACAGCCACTTAAACACAGATTCTGGTTAATTATAATAAATGAAAATTCAAATAAGTAACTTACATCAATTTCAGCCTCTGGTGGCAGTTTCTCTCCAACCAACAGTGCGGTCACACTAAACAAAAGAGAACTATGAATACTAATGTCATCTCATATGTCTAAGTATACTTCATAGACTTTGACGGAGAAAAGCAGCGTAACAACATTACATTCACGTTACCTGACTCCGTTCTGTCGTTTCCGCAAACTCTGAAGCTCTTTAGCCTCTTCTACTTTTGATCTAAAAGACCAAGAAATACATATAAATTAAATCACATCGGCTGTGTACCTTCTTTATAATACACCTTAAATCGAAAACATGTGATTGTCGTTTTTAACTTCGATGCACTATTGACTACGTTAGCATAGCGTTACTCTTGATGGTACTTTTGTTCACTTGATTTAAATAAAGTACTTTACCTGACTTCCTCAGTTGTCTCTTCTTCCTCTACATCTGACGAGTCCCTTCTCCTTCTAAAGTTTTTGCCACACGGCATTTTGATACAATTTAATGTTATTTCTTAGCTTAATTTCGATAGCAGATGGTTGTGTGAATGAGGGAAGACTTAAACAAGCCCCCAATAATAGTGCGTCACTTCCGTAAGGAGAAACACCAGTTCCGGTCTTTTTAGGTAACCATAACAAACATGGCGACTTACAGGCAGGTCGGCAGGTTGTTGGTTATTTCAGCAAGACTTACGCGTCCGTAAGTTAACTTGTTTGTTAGTTGTCAAGCTGTGATGTCCTCTCATTTTAATTTTTAATGCTTGTATGAATGCACTGACCTCTAAGGAATGAAAGTTCGGCTGACGTTAACTACTAGCGGCTAACTAGCTAGCTAAATCGGAGAGTGACGCAGACAGATTATTACTGCTCAGATGATAGCGTTTGTTTTAGTGTTTTAACTCTTTAAATTATAATCAGATCTAAAAGCCTTTTTTTTTGCCATATTCAACAAAAAATACTCTTTAATATTATATTGCAAGCAGTTCTTTACAAATTTAACTAACTTATGTTCATTAATAAATACACAACATTCAAATAAGAGTTTGACCCTCTTCCTGTCAGAGTTTGGTTAACTATAACATTGTGTTCATGTGAGACAGTTTCAGCAGTTATTTTTTCTAAACCGGTAAACCCTGCCACAAATTTTTGATTGGGCTGAGGTCTTGACTCCGACTTTGATTTTATGTTTGGAGCTGTTGTCTTGTTGGGAAATAAATGTCCTTGCAAGTCACAATTTTTCTTAGTTTCTAAGCTATATCTGCTGTATACACTGTTATATCAAAACAGTACATTTACAGCTGTGTCAAATAATTGCAATTTTCTATGACAGAATTTAACTTTATTCTGAGGGATATTCACTGACATCAATCATTACATCTGTGCATTTCTCTAACTTTCTTGTGGATTTGTTTGGCATGTGGCTTTACTATGAATCCAAGCACAGACATATTTATTATGTCTTATTTATTATATTCATTACACTCTGGTGATCTCCAAATGACTAATTATGTGACTTCCAGTAACAGGCTGCACTAGTGATGGTTTAGGTTTGTCATTATGAAGGAGATAAACAATTATGTGATGTTTTGGGTTTTTTGTATACCAGATTGATCTTTGTTAAAATGTGGCTTGTCAAGAAAGCACAGATTAAGTGGTAAAACAATAAAAGAAGGAGGGGTACTGTATTAGACCAGATAACTATCTATGAACATAATCTGTCGAAAATGTTTTCCTGTCTTGCATCATGCTTGTGGATATATGATAATTAATGTCATATTGTGTATATCTGAATGTGTTTTAATTCCATTAATAATAAAATTCTATATTTTGCAAGATAACGTTTCTATAGTAGAAAAGTTCAACTATATTATAAATTCAAATACAGATGTGAATTGTACATTCTCCCTCACCAGGATAAGACATAAACACTGACTTTAGAATATAGTATGTGCTGCACCAGTCATTGTAAGGCTACCTCACCTATGTAAGAGTTTGTATTATTTTATCCATAAATGGATTACATGTTAAATTAAGATTGTGCACGGAATGTTTCTAATAGATTAATTTGACACAATCCTTCACATTTTCAATCTACTACTGAGGAAATTAAAATGGCCACCATGGGCACTAAATTTTCAGATTTTTATCATCATTACTTAGTTACTGTAATTTTCACTGTAGTGACCATTCAAATCTATTTTTTATGTGCCGTCTCAGTGTTGCTGGCTGTGGATATCAGAGCGCCGGATTACACTGGCCTTCACACAACACCAGAATCTCAAACATATGGCCACAAAACCCCCAATGGGTTGTTCCCGGTTTGTATTCCTGCAACATTCTTGTGGCTTTTTTAATTTGGAGAAAACACTATATAATGACTGATGTTACACTCTTGCTCTTTGTGTTTTGTCTGTTCAAAGGAAGGACCATGTTTGTGCAGACGCAGGACACACCAAATCCAAACAGCCTAAAGTTTCTGCCTGGTCGTACAGTTCTTGAAGCAGGAACTATGAATTTTGCCGGCCCTCGTGATGCATTCTGCTCACCCTTAGCCAGGTACATGACTTTTCAAGTTTATGGTTACTGAACAAATTGAAAAAATGTTTTAACAGGAGGCAGTTTGGTATGGCCCAGCAGGAAAAGCACAGGATTAGATAATGATGTCAGTGGTGGCTATCTTCCTGTTTCAAACATAAATAGAATGCAGCCATTATTATTCATTAGTTAGGCTTGCTGTACCAGTAGTCTAAGAACAAAAGCAATGCTTACTCCCAAAAATATTCTAAAAAAATAAGTTTAAATTTGTGTGAAGCACTGAAACAGTAGTTTTCTGTGTTCTTGAGCATGTTCTTGAGTCTTTTTTTTTTTAAATAATTGTTTAATAATTGTGTCTAATCAAGCTTTAAATCATTCAATTTTAACAGCTGTAAACAGAAATACTGTTAACTAATTCTAAACAATTACATCACTATATCACTGAAACCTTAGTTCAGTACATTATATATGTATAAGGCATGTCTGATGATGTATATGCAAACTTATCTTTCAAATTTAAGCATAATACCCATTAACAGTTTTCATTTTTTATACTATATTAATTGTAAAGTTAACTTTTCAAATTAAATAAAACCTCAGTAATGTTCTGTATTGTTTTCAGACAGCTGTTTAGGATTGATGGAGTCAAAAGTGTCTTCCTGGGCAACGACTTCATCACCATAACAAGGGTAAAACCAGCTCCAGTTTATGTGAACCTCATAGTGTGGCACTGCATAATGGCATTTCTTGGAATAACTTGTTTTCTTTTCTCTCTTCATTTAGGCTGATGCAAACATGGAATGGAAAGTAATCAAACCTGATGTATATGCTGCCATTATGGACTTTTTCACCTCTGGACTTCCTGTTGTCAGTGAGGACAGCAAACCTAATGCAGATACAGGTAAAAAAAAAAAATCAGCCAATCAGTGTAGGGCAGAACAGGTAAGGAAGGTTGTTTGTGAAGAAATCTCCAACTCTCTTTTCAGCAATATCAGATGACGATGATGAAGTAGTTGCCATGATCAAAGAGCTGCTGGATACTCGAATAAGGTAGCTGCTTGTGAAGATGCACTCTGATATCAATGCTTGGTCCCTGTCACTGTGGTTTTCTGTTGTTTTTTCACACATCCTGGTATCTTGTTCTCCAGACCAACAGTGCAGGAGGATGGAGGTGATGTTCTGTATCGAGGGTTTGAGGACGGCATTGTTAAACTGAAGCTGCAGGGCTCCTGCACCAGTTGTCCCAGTTCCATTGTTACTTTGAAAAGTGGAATCCAAAACATGCTGCAGTTTTACGTCCCCGAAGTTGAGTCAGTGGAGCAGGTTTGTTTTCCTCCCAGAGCATAATCTGTAAATTCGCTGCTTAATTTAGTTACACACATACGCACAGCTTTGGTCTCACTTCCTCACTGATATTTTGTATATACCTGCTGAGTGAAGTGATCTGGTTCATAGCAGTAGAGAACAGTTATATCTCTTTTTAAAAACATTAAAAGTAATCATATTGCAACAGGTTTAGTTTATCACTCTAACCAACTTTATTGCATAAACCATCTGTTGCAATTACTTGTTACCTTGTGGAGTGTCCAAAAGACTTTAAAAATACATTTTGTGTTGTAATTTTATTTAGTCATTTAAGTGTTGTGCCTTTAAATTCATTTTTAAGGATTGGACAGTTGTTGTTATTGGCACATGCCTTGTCGGTTTTCATTCCTCAGCCAAATTCTTCAATTAAACATTACCACATGAGGGAGTGGTGTTGTACTGAATATCAGCACAGCTGTAATTCACTCATAGGCCGCAGGCCGAGTACCGAAGACAATCACAGAATCTAAAAAATAAACAACTAAAACTAAATGTATGTTTATCCACAGGTGAAGGATGAGGAAGAGGAGAGGGATGCTCAAGGTTGAACTACACGGAAACCAGAACCACATTTACACATTCCTCTCTCCCCCGGTCACCTGCTTGACTTGCAGTAAATTGAGCTGTTGTATAGCATGGCTGTGTGAAAGACCTCATCATCATTGTCATCATCATTCATCCAGATGTGATTATTGATTTTGCTAGCTGTTTTATGTAAAATGACAGTATTTCACAAAATATGGGACAGAAGAACACAGCCATAGAAACTGATGACTATAGAGCTGAAACAAATTCAGCTTATTATTTAACACTGTTACACATTTTCTGAATCAGTCACTAGTCAAAACAGCCTGTAGGTTTAAAATATATATACAGTGCTGTTTGTTTGTAAATAAAGTTTATTGAAATATTTTATAACTGTGTGTACCTCTTGCTTATGTTTTATTAATTCATTTTATTCACTAATATTGCATAATTGTGCTTTTTTACAAGCCTCTTCCAGTGCAAACTTGCATTGTTACAAGTGTTAGATATCACAGTCAGAATCACTATTCATCAGCTGTTGTTTTGATAAATTAGTTTATCATCATTTTCCCTGTAGAAATATTGCTGTTCATTGTAGACTGTCCTCATAAATTAAATACCCCATTTGTCTGGGTTAACAATTTTAGAAATATCAATGAAGTAGGGATTGAGAGCGCCATGGTCATGTACTCTAATATATCTGGGAGTTTTGGGGTTAATGATGTGAAGATGAGTTTTCATTCTCTGCATCACATATTTTAAGGCGTATTCTGATTGTTGTTTTTCTTTTTAGAATAAATATCTTAAAGTTTGAATCTAAATACATTTAATGTGGAAAAGATTCAAGATGACATTGAAATGCAATTTATACAAAAATGTAGGAGATAAATATTAAGATAAATAAAAATTGTGTGTTTTGTTTGTGTTAAATACCCAGAACATTTTACATATTTCTTTGGCCACTGGCTGGAGGACTAAAACCCGGGCCACATCATAGACATAGAGCATAGACAACTATAAGTGCATTTGTCTTCTTTTGACATGTTATTGACTAAAATGATTCATGAATTAATCAAACAATAATGATTAATGTTACAGTCCTGTACTGTTGTACCAGGTTGTGGTAGAGAGCACAGGTCTGCCATTGTGCGGTGTTGTTGGTTTTAACTGCTGGATGATCGCAGCAGCAGCAGCAGCAGCAGCAAGATCTGTTGTCGGTCCTGGCCACGGATCTGCATCCTGATGCCACGTCAGGAGTGTCTGCGTCGGTAGGTGCAACCTGACTGACAGGCTGTTCCGCCAATCAGAAGGCGCCATGAAAAGAGGCGGTTGGTTCTGATTCGGCGAGATCAGAGGGGGAAGAAACTTATTTGACAGGCGTTCCCAGCTACCGGAGTAGCTGTAACTGGCATCCAAACTGAAGACATGTGTGGTGAGTACTGAATATATTCTACATTTATATCATTCAGTACGAAATGTATGTTATTCCCCGTTTACCAAAAAAGCAAATAAATCAGATTCGAAACACTGCTGGCATCGTTAGTTAAGGCTGAAGGCACAAGTCATTTGAAATTAGCTAGGGGTGGCTAACCTGAGTTAGCGAACATGAACTGGTGTTGATGCTGTCGGCCAGCTAAATATAAACCAGTAAATATTAAATTTTCTTCAATATGTTCTCTGTGTGATTCGTCAAACAAGAAGTCGACACCTGGAAGTAACGTGAAAATGATAAGCTGCTTTCTTCTTGCCAACTCCAGACAGACAGCTAACGTGGTTTTTCGGTGATATTACGCAAATCGCGTAACTTTCCACTAAACCTTGTCACTCTGGTTTGTTGATCTACATGCTTGGACAAGCTGTGAGTTAGTATTGTCGTCATGTTTCAGCTGGAGTTGTCCAGATGCTTTGTTTGCTTAAAAATGAAAGCGTGTTGGCTGTGTTACACTGATATATCGCTGTCATAAGGCACTAACGTTAAACTCTCATTGAGAGAAATCCCGGAAAGGGATGCATTTGGTTACGATCTATTTGAGAAATCTATTTGAGGTGTTTTGCTAGTATCGGTCACTGTCCCCTGTCTCTTCTCCTTTCTCACTTGTGACTGATAAGTGATGCCTCTCTGTCTCCCATCACTGTCACTACAATCTCTAAGTACAACAATCAGACCAAATAGACCTGTTGGTTATACCTACCCGGACAATAAGACGTCATTATAACGTAACGTAAATATTTTCCCTTGTTAAACTTCTACATTTCTTGATGGGTCTTATGATTTTTGCCCCCTTGCTGCAGCACTTTTCCCTGGCGAATTGCCCCTCACTCCATCCCCTGCTCTTCTCAATGAATCCTCTGTTGAACCAGTCTTTCCTCTGGCTCCACATTTGCATTTACTTCTCAGTGCCTAGCTATGTAACAGGGCAGTATTTCATGTCTCCCCTTTACCCAGTTAAAGGTGACACTCCTTTCATTGTTTGTCAGTCAGTGGGTTGGCTGTAGAAACCATCGTTTGCAAGAAGAACTGCTGATTATAGCAAAAATTTGTCAATTAAGTGTTAGTTTTGATATACAGTATGTGGGCCTATCATTGTGCCATAATAGTCTTTGAGTCTGTTTGGTAATCATACACAACCAGATCTCTCAAAGAGAGTTTAAACATGCAGCCATGCAGTCAACATCTTGCCTGCGAGTTCTCTTACAACAATGACTCCTACCCCACCCTTCTCCTGAGCAGGAGATACCAGCTCAACACCAGGTTTCTAGATACACTCATTTGCATCATAGCAGGTCCTACTACTGTAACTGAGAACGATATTTGCTTTATTTTGGTTACGACTCTCGCAAAACGGGTTTCTCATGCATTGCCTACCAGCTTTCTGACACAGAGTCCTCAATAATAAAGGTAAACATCACTAAGTAATGTGTGTCCCACATTTCCAGGAAGGAATCAAATTACATTCTTCTTCAGCCATCTTGACATATCCATTGTTGTCTTTATTAGGTCTGGTCAGAAATGATCATACATCAACTCTCGGTGGAATCATAACAACATGATCCTAATAAGTTTTTGTTTAATGAAATCCTGTTGTCCAAAATAATGTTTCCAAGGAAATTTTAAGAGCGTGAGTACGGGGTTTGTTTGACATCTGTGGAGAATTTTGTCTGATGTAATAAACAACAACAACATTTTACATACTTTTATATATTTGAAAAAATATTCTTATTAATATTGTGCTATTCATTTCAGGCCTGATACCCTGCCACTGTCATAATTGTGTCTTAAATCCACATGCATTGGTACAGACTCATTTGGTTCATACTGTGTGTGTGTAGGAGTACGTTAAGCTTTGAACATCAACTGAATTATCAGACAAGTAGTTGTACCAGTATGGACATTTCACATCAACCTGACATTTAAGCTGCCCTTCTAAGCAGACGTTTAAAGTAGAAAGTAAGAAGAAAAAAATATTATTGGCAGACCAAAATTCTTTATATAGAAAACACAGCTTGAATCTTGAATTTTTTTTCCCTCTCCCCAGGAATCTTTGCCTATCTCAACTACCATGTGCCAAGGACTCGCCGTGAGATCCTTGAGATCCTCCTCAAAGGTCTGCGACGTCTGGAGTACAGAGGTTATGACTCAGCCGGTGAGTGATGGAAAAAGCTCATATCACCAACATGCCCTTGCCTGTTTTATCAGGCCCTTTTCCTTCTCTGTCCCCTCACTGTCTGCCTGATATCACCACCAAGTTGTCCAGTACAATGTTACTGCAGCATAGGAATCTTCTTTATCAGTCACATTTGATGTTTTCTATATTTTTTTTTTTAATGAGTTGGGAACTCAAAGCAAGACAATGTTCGCTGTTAATTATTAACAGCCATTAACATGTGGCTGGGCTAGACTTACTGCACCATTAATGGAACTAATTTACTTTATGTTCGCTTAATTTGCATTCCAGCCAGCCTTATGGATTTGTGCATTCACTCATTGAGTGTAGCAGCATCTTATGTTGAAATTCTGCTCTAATGTTAGACCAAAAACAGGACATGACTTGCAAAGTGGCAATAGCATCATAATACTTTTTAAATCTGTTGATACTCAAGGGCATTATGATCCCTATAATTCTCTTGCTATTTCTCTTTTTTTTTTATTTTTTTTTTTAAATTTCATAAGGTGTGGGAATTGATGGAGGTAACGGCAAGGAGTGGGAGTCCAATGCCAAGTCTATCCAACTGATCAAGCAACGCGGAAAAGTGAAGGCTCTTGACGAGGAGATCCACAGTAAGCTGAGATGAAGTTCCTCACTTCACAAGAATGAGTCATTAGACTTGATTTGTCATCCTGTATACTGCGGTACAGTTGGAATACTGAATATTGTCTGTTGGCTTGTGTTTGTTCAACCTTTAGAACAGCAGGATATTGACCTGGATGTGGAGTTTGATGTTCACCTCGGCATTGCTCACACCCGCTGGGCCACCCACGGTGTACCAAGCCCAGTCAACAGCCATCCACATAGATCTGACAAGAGCAACGGTCAGTTGTGTTGAAGATAGAACGCTAACTCATTCCAGACAGCGAAATGTTTTACCTCGTAGTCCACAACAGCTCAGTCTGTTTTTTTTTTTGTTTTTTTTTTACCTGGGTGCAGGTATTTTGATATCCTGAAGTTTATGATAATCTGTCTGGTCCACAGAGTTCATTGTCATTCACAATGGAATTATCACCAACTACAAAGACCTGAGGAAATTCCTGGTGAGCAAATATCTTTCATAGACTATTCTAGACATCTTGTCATCATTGTTACTTATAGATGGCACTTACACTCTCCCTCCATCTCTACAGGAGAGCAAAGGCTACGAGTTTGAGTCAGAGACTGATACAGAGACCATCGCCAAGCTGGTGAAGTACATGTACGACAACCGGGAGAGTGACGACATCAGTTTTACCACACTGGTGGAACGGGTGACCCAGCAGCTGGTAAGGACCTGCTTATGCACTCCACTGCTCATTGTGATCAACAGATAAAAGAGCCTGTCTGACGTGTTTCCTCTTCCACCTGCCAGGAGGGAGCTTTTGCCCTGGTCTTCAAGAGTGTCCACTACCCCGGAGAGGCAGTTTGCACAAGGTACATCACCACTGATGCTGTCAAACTGTTTTTAGTCATTGCAGATAAAAGCATTGTGAGCTCATTAAAATGTTGCTGTGCAGGAGGGGAAGTCCTCTGCTGATTGGCGTGAGGAGTGATCATAAGCTGTCCACAGATCATATTCCTGTGCTCTACCGCTCCTGTGAGTTTATATTTCTGTTTATGAATGTGTGGAATGTCTGTTTCTAATTTTTTCACATGTGACTGCATAAGTGTGACTGAGGCCCACCTTCTTTTGTATTTATT